GGGTAGGCATAGAATTGGGGCATTTTGCATTTAGTATTTTAAGAGTATTGTAGATATTGATATTGTGTGAATTAATCCAATTATATTTGTTTGTAAGTAGTTGTGTTAAGACTATGGCTGGAGGGAATCGTGGAATGGGCCGTAGGGGTAGACCACCCCTAAGTGGACGAGTTGGGGGCAGAGTTCCATTAGTTGCCAGGAGTGAACCGGTCAACCGAGATGAGGTTGAGGTTGGAGTGGATGAGTCATTGAACTCGTCAGCAAGGAACCATGGTCAGCATGATGTGAATGTTGGCCAAACTCAACAATTGGGGCAACAAGATCAGCCAAGCTTTATGGAGATTATGCAGACTATGGCAAGGACCATGGCTGAACAACAGGAGCTAGTTAAGTCCCTAGCAGAGCAACAGGCAAAGGTTATTGTAGAATAGCAGGGAAAGGTTTCAACATCACAACTTGTCCAGAAGGGAGGCCTAGCAGAGTTTGTCAAACTAGCTAAGACTTTCTATGGTGATTCAAAAGATCCATTGGAGGCAGAAAGTTGGATCAAAGAAATGGAGAAGACTTTTCGAGGGCAAGGTGTCACAGAAGAGAATAAGGTGCCTTATGCAGCATACTTGTTGAAAGGTGATGCAAACAATTGGTGGGAGGTTGAGGGAAGTAACCTTACTCCCCCGATTGACTAGCACACCTTCACAAAGGCATTCTTGAAGGAGTATATGCCTGAAAGTGATAGACATGAAATGCAACAAAGATTCCATACTCTTGTCCAGGGTGACAAAACGGTGAAGGAATATGAAAAGGAATTTAATCGCCTTTTGAAGTTTGCCCCATTAGCTACTCAGAAGGACGAGGAGTCAAGGAGGTTGAAATTTCTTTATGGACTTAACCCTCACATTTTGTCTGAGGTTCAAAAATTTGAAGTAAGTACTTATTCTGCAACAGTTAACAAGGCTAAAGTGATAGAGTAGGGTCATAAAGTAATTAAGGCAGTTGAAGGTAGTAGCAGTGGAACTAACAAGCAGAAATGGTCAGGCCCTCAAGGTGGGAGAAGCTTTGGAAATCAGAGTTTTACTTCAGATAAGAGGCAATATACTGGATATTCTGGGGTTAGAACTCAGCAGGGTCAGAACCTTAAGTGTTGGAAATGTCAGGGACCGCATGAGGCTAAGAATTGTAGATGGTTGGCAGGTTCATGTTTATTATGTGGGTAGGCAGGACATCGTGTGGCAGAATGTCCTCGATCTAGATTTCCAATAGGTTCATGTTTCAATTGCGGACAGAAGGGGCATAAGGCTGTTGATTGTCCACAGGCAAAGAAGAATACACAGATAGTGCATGCTACTCATCCTGCTATTAGTGAACATGCATCCAATGCAGGGCCTGCTAAAGGTGGAAATCAGAGGCCGTTAGCTCAGGGTCGCGTATATGCTTTAAATAAGTAAGATGCTCAGGCATCTTAAAATGTGGTGACAGGTATACTTTTTATTTCGTCAGTAGATGCTTACACCTTGTTTGATTCTGGTGCATCACATTCATTTGTTTCTTATGAGTTTGCTCAGAGACTTAGTGTGCCTATTGAATTCTTAGACTGTGACTTGTCGGTGGACACTCCTATTGGGGGTAATTTGATAGCTGATCGTGTTTGTAAGTCGTGTGTGGTGCATGTTGATGGAAAACAACTTCTTGTAGATTTAATTCTCTTAGATATGCATGACTTTGATGTAATATTGGGCATGGATTGGCTAGCTAAGCATCATGCTCATTTGAATTGTCATGAGAAAAGGATAGATTTTAGAATGCCTGGTCAGCAAGAATTTAGTTATGTTTGTCATCCAAGAAAGTCTTTTCCTTCAATTATATCTGCTGTGCAAGCAAATAGAATTTTGAGGAATGGTGGTGAAGGATACTTGGCTGTAGTTGTTGACACCCAATCTAGTGAGCTACAACTAGTGGATGTCAATGTAGTAAGGGAATTTCCAGATGTTTTCCCAGATGACTTACCTAGTTTACCACCAGATAGGGAGGTGGAATTCTCTATTAATGTGTTGCCAAGAACTGCTCCTATTTCTAAGGCTCCTTATAGAATGGCCCCTGTTGAGTTGAAAGAGCTGAAGGAGCAATTGCAGGAATTGTTAGACAAAGGTTTTATAAGGCCAAGTGTGTCACCTTGGGGTGCTCCTGTACTGTTTGTGAAGAAGAAGGATGGCACCATGAGACTTTGTATTGATTACAGAGAATTAAACAAGGTGACAATACGCAATAAATATCCTTTGCCTAGAATTGATGATCTTTTTGATCAATTGAAGGGAGCTCAAGTGTTCTCCAAAATTGACTTAAGATCTGGATACCACCAACTAAAGATCAAGGAGGGTGATATTCCTAAATCAGCCTTTCGGACTCGTTATGGTCATTATGAATTTCTTGTAATGCCATTTGGGTTGACTAATGCCCCTGCAGCCTTTATGGACCTAATGAATAGAGTATTCAAAGCTTATCTGGACAAATTTGTGGTGGTGTTCATCGATGACATTCTAGTGTACTCAAGAAGTAATGCGGAGCATGAGGAACATTTGAGATTGGTGCTTCAAATTTTGAGGGAGAAGAAGCTTTATGCAAAGCTTAAGAAATGTGAGTTCTGGCTAGATAGAGTAGCATTCCTAGGACATGTTGTGTCTAAGGATGGAATTTCTGTGGACCTTGATAAAGTGAAGGCAATAGTGGAATGGAGCCAACCAACTAATGTGATTGAAGTTCATAGTTTCTTAGGTTTGGCAGGGTACTATAGAAGGTTTGTGGAAGGATTTTCCCGCATAGCTATGCCATTAACCAAATTAACCCAAAAGGAAGTGAAGTTTGAATGGAATGATGAATGTGAAAGAAGCTTCCAGGAGTTGAAGAATCGATTAGTCTCAGCACCTATTTTGACTATTCCTGATGATAGTGGAGGTTTTACTATTTATAGTGATGCCTCCAAGAAGGGATTGGGTAGTGTTTTGATGCAACATGATAAGGTGGTGGCTTATGCTTCAAGACAGTTGAAACCATATGAGAAGAATTACCCAACTCATGATTTAGAGCTTGCAACAGTTGTTTTTGCCCTTAAGATCTGGAGGCATTACTTGTATGGTGAAAAATGTGAGATCTTCACTGATCATAAAAGTCTAAAATATATTTTCACACAAAAAGAACTAAATATGAGGCAGAGGAGATGGTTGGAGTTACTGAAGGATTATGACCTGACTATTAGCTACCACCAAGGTAAGGCTAATGTTGTAGCAGATGCTTTAAGTAGGAAGGATCATGGTAACTTAGCCACTATACTCACTTCTCAAAGGTGTATTATGGAAGATTTGATGAGAATGGATGTCAGATTGCGAGTGTATAGTCCAGATACATTCGTAGCTACTTTACAGGTCCAACCTACCTTGATAGAGAAAATCAAGACTACACAATTAGATGATCCATTTTTGCAAAAAATGAGGCATAAGGTGGAGTTAGGTGACTCAAAGTTGAAGCCATTTAGGATTCATGAGGATGGTTCCTTGTGGCATGGAGTTCGAATTTGTGTTCCCAATGATTTGGAGTTGAAAAGAGTAATTTTGAAGGAAGCTCACAATACTGGGTATACTGTACATCCGGGTAGTACTAAAATGTATAGAGATCTACGGGAGACTTTTTGGTGGAACAATATGAAGAGAGAAGTTCCTGATTATGTAGCTCAATGTTTGACATGTCAACAAGTCAAGGCTAAGCATCAAAGACCAGCAGGCAAGTTACAGCCACTTCCTATTCCTAAATGGAAATGGGAGCATATCACCATGGATTTTGTCACTGGGTTGCCTGTAACTCAGAGTGGCAATGATTCTATTTGGGTGATTGTGGATAGGCTAACTAAGTCTGCTCATTTCCTTCCTTACAAAACAGGTATGCAGTTGGAAGGATTTGCAAAATTATATTTGAAAGAGATAGTGAGGTTGCATGGTGTACCGGTGTCTATAGTGTCAGATAGAGACTCCCGGTTTGTTTCTCATTTTTGGGGAAGTGTGCATAGAGCTTTGGGGACCACTCTTAATTTCAGCACTGCTTATCACCCTCAAACAGATGGGCAAAGTGAAAGAACCATTCAGACATTAGAAGATATGCTGAGGTCTTGTGTGATTGATATGAAGGGTTCATGGGATCATCAATTGCCTCTCATAGAATTTGCTTACAATAATAGTTATCATGCAAGTATTAAGATGGCTCCATATGAAGCTTTGTATGGTAGGAAGTGCAGGTCTCCAATATGTTGGACGGAAGTAGGAGAAAGGAAGTTGTTGGGTCCAGAGTTGATTCAGCAGGCTACTGAAAAGGTTCAGCTTATTCGAGAGCACATCCATGTAGCTCAAAGCAGGCAGAAAAGCTATGCGGATAACAAAAGGCGTGAGCTAGAATTTCAAGTGGGAGAAAAAGTTTTCCTAAAAGTTTCACCTACTAGAGGAGTCATGAGATTTGGAATTCGAGGGAAGCTCAGTCCTCGCTTTATAGGCCCTTTTGAGATTTTAGAAAGAGTGGGTGAGGTAGCTTATAGGCTGGCATTACCACCAAACCTATAAGAGGTGCATAATGTTTTTCATGTCTCTATGTTAAGGAAGTATACCCCCGACCCTAGCCATATAATAGAGTTTGCTCCACTTCAGCTTAGAGAGGATTTAACATATGATGAAAGACCTGTTCGCATTGTTGATAGGAAGGAGCAAGTGTTGAGAAGGCGTACCATTCCCTATGTTAAGATCCAGTGGAGTAACCATACAGAACGAGAGGCAACATGGGAGTTGGAAGAGGAAGCTAGGGAGAGATATCCATACCTATTTGATATTCAAGGTACGCCAAGTTTAGAGGACTAAACTTCTTTTAAGGGGGGAAGGATGTAATATCCGGCATTTATTTTATTTTATTTTATTTTATTACTTTTAAATAAGTTTATTTAAGCCCTTAAAGGATTTAAATGTAAGGAGAGGGAATTAAGAGGTTTAACTATAAAGGAATCAAGAGTGAAAGGACTAACCAAATATTATAACATTTTTTTTTTTACTAAAACCTAAATAGAAAACGGACTAGGGGTTGGAAAAAGGTTGTAATGCTGCCGCCCACTTCTGAAGGTGCTGTTGCCATTTGTAAAGCATAAGAAAGGGGCTTCCGTTCGATAGACTTGCTGGATTAGTCAAATTGAGGAAATTGTAGGGTAAGTTTCCCAATTATGTGATGGTTTTGTTCTTAGATCTAACTTTATAATTAAGAATGTGAATTGGAAGAGGAATTGAGAGAATTTTTGGAACTCTATTCCATGTTAGGATTTGATTCTAGCAATATGGCCTATGATTTGTAGATCTTTTCAATTCTAACAAAGAAGATAGTACGAAAGTTTTCAATAATTCAAGAGGCAGCGTCGAGTGGAAATATTGATTAATTATTCGAGGTAAGTTGTTATATCCTCTAGTATTATTTTTAAAAGGTTTGTTTTATTGAAATTTTATTTTACTTTTTCAGCGTATTTTATATAATTTTATTTGGTTACTATGTCTTAAGAATAAGAATATTTTATAATGAAACGAGATGAATGTTGATCAACCATTTTGAGTGTGGACTGTTTTCTATCGAAGAGTGTGGTTTATTAAATTGGAAATAATTTTTCTTTTGATATCGGGTTTTCATGTTCTTGGTTGGCTGGATAAATTAACCCATTCCTCAAGGGTATACTGAGGGTATTGATAGTAGTCCCGGGATCTATTTATCATGGAGTGTGATGTGGAGTGTGATGCTATATTTGGCGTGTGATGCAGCCTAAAGAACTTGAAATTGTTGTTTCTTTTCATCTAGTTTGGAATGTGGTTTCCTTATTGAAAAGTTGTTTACTTTATTTAATTATTATTTCATTGAAATACAATGCTTGATTGAACTAGATGGGTATACTCTTACTGAGCTGTCTAGCTTATGCTTTTAAATCTCATCTCATTTCAGGTACAGACAAGTAAGCATTTGGGGTTGCATTTGGGAGTGAGAGGCACAACGATTCTAGAGTAGTTCTTTGGTTTAGTTTAAGTTATTCTGGATTGTTGAATAATTAGAATTGAAGATCTATTTGCTATGACTTGTTGCTATTAAATTTTATGTTGGATTTTATGAAGTGAGAATTAAGTGTTTTGGATGTGAAAAACTTCTCATACATGTTAATAAAGATGGAGTTTCCTATAGAATATAATTTTATTGCATTTGGACACTAAAAGTTGTTTAGTTAAGGTAGCCTTACACATTTATGGGGTCATCCCTATAGATGTGTGGCGTTTGTTACGCCTTGACCTTGGGGTTGGGGCGTGACAATTAATATATTATTTAAAAATTTTTAAGAATTATCATAATTTGAAATCTTATGATAAAATCTACAAAATAAATATAATTAATATTGAGAGTTCCGTCTTCTTTTTTTTTAATTCAACTTATAATGACAATTAATAGGGCATATCCCTCCTAGGGGTGGCAATTTCCCCCGATCCCCGCGGGGTCCCGCGGGGATCCCCGTCACGGGGACGGGGCGGGGAGGAATATTCCTCCTCGCGGGGCGGGGATGGGGGGCATTTTCTCTCCGCGAAATTTCGCAGGGAATTTTCCCCGCTCGGCGGGGCCCCGCGAGGATCCCCATCCCCGCGAAAAATTAAAAAAAAATTTTAATTCAATTTAATATTTAAAATAAAACCCAAACCTAACCCAA